CAAAAGATAAAATTAAAAAAATAGGATGTGCCTTGAGATTTTCATCTTGGCCATTCTGATGGGTGTAAGGTCAAGGGACAACACATGCTGGAGAGGTTGTGGAGAAAGGGGAACCCTTCTCCACTGCTGGTGGGAATGTAAACTGGTACAACCACTCTGGAAATCAATCTGGCGCTTTCTCAGACAACTAGGAATAGCGCTTCCTCAAGATCCAGCCATACCACTCCTAGGCATATACCCAAAAGAGGCGCAAGTACACAAAAAGGACATTTGCTCAACCATGTTTGTAGCAGCTTTATTTGTAATAGCCAGAAGCTGGAAACAACCCAGATGCCCCTCAACTGAAGAATGGATGCAGAAACTGTGGTACATCTATACAATGGAGTATTACTCAGCAATGAAAAATAAGGAAATCATGAAATTTGCAGGTAAATGGTGGGACCTGGAAAGGATCATCCTGAGTGAGTTGTCCCAGAAGCAAAAAGACACTCACGGTATATACTCACTCATATAAACATACAATATAGAATAAACCCACTAAAATCTGTACATCTAAACAAACTAAGCAAAAGAGAGGACCCTAACTAAAATGTTCAATCCCCATCCTGAAAGGCAAAGAGGATGGACATCAGAAGAAAACGAAAATAGGAAACAACCTCGGAACCTGCTACAGAGGGCCTCTGAAAGCCAGAAGAAAACAGGAAACAACCTTGAAACCTGCTACAGAGGGCCTCTGAAAGCTTCTGCAGTATAGACTGTCAAAGCAGATGCTGAGCCTGATGGCCAACTGATGGGCAGAGTGAATGGAATTCTATGTAAGAAGTGGGAAATAGTAAGAGCTGGAGGGGACAGGAACTCCACAAGCAGAGCAACAGAACAAGATAATTTGAACACAGGGAACTTCCCAGAGACTCATACTCCAACCAAGGACTATTCGTGGAGATGACCTGGAACCCCTGCACAGGTGTAGCCCATGGCAGTTCAGTGTCCAAGTGGGTTACATAGTAATGGGAAGAGGGAATGCCTCTGACATAATCTGATTGGCCTGCTCGTTGATCACTTCCCCCTGAGGGGGGAGCAGCCTTACCAGGCCACAGTAGAGGACAATGCAGCCACTTTTGATGAGAACTGATAGACTAAGATCAGAAAGAAGAGGAGAACCTCCCCTATCAGTGGACTTGGGGAGTGGCATGCATGCAGAAAGGGGAGGAAGGGTGGGATCGGCAGGGGAGGAGGGAGGGGCTTATGGGGGGATACAAAATGAATAAAGTGTAATTAATAAAAAAAATAAAAAATAGGATGTGAAGAAAGAAAGAGAGAGCATGCTGACTGTAGATGGATATAAACATTTTTGTTCCCCTCAAATGACACGGTATTTATTCTGGAGCATGAAGGAAACTTAAGATTCTTCAGGGGTCAGAGCACTCGGTTTCTTCCCCAAGTGATGTTTCAAGTGGTTCAAGCCCCATGTCCTCTCACATGGGGCTCAGAGGATGCAGAACAAGGTTACAAGAATCGTAGTAAGCCGTGAAAATGAATAGAAAACTGAATCCATTATGCTATTAGAAACACATTCATACAATGTACAGAATAAGTGGTTAACAAGGAAAACTGGTTTACTTCTGTTTTGCATGCCTGGGATGATGGAAAGAGAAGGCAGAATGCTTCCTAACAGGCTTCATCTTACCTTCCTCCCTACCTAGGACGATAGGATAAAGCCAGATTCCTCCAAGTCTTTAAACCAGCAATCGCAGATTGAATCTGAACAAAAAGTCATCTTCTCTGAGAAGTACTGATGCCCTCCCCCCATTATACCTTTTTTTTTCTGCCAGTTTATACTTTGTACTAGACTAAAAGTTCTATAAGGGTTTTTGGCCATGTGTGCCTGATTTTACTTTATAATCTCCATGTTTGGCGAAATTACCCACGACAAAATATGTATTTAATAAATATTTTGAATGAATTAATTATCTATTACTGTGTTGTTGCATTATAAGGCAGGTAAAGATGTATTAGAAAGAAGGAGAAATCTCTTCCTTTACTAATAGTGAATCTGTATTATTTAGATTTGGAGCAGGAAAGGGCTTCAATTAGCGCAATGAGAAAGAAAAGATAAGAACGAGAGAATTGCATTCCCTTATTAATCATTTTCATTGATATTAAAACAAAACACAAAACTAAAAACCAATGTTGTCCATCACTTGACAGTGAGGCCCTATTGCTCATGACACCACAATCTTGAGTCATAGAACATGAAGATATCAAGCTGTTCCTTACCTGGAAGCTATATCATTACCAGCTAATTTCCACAGTGCTGGAAAGCATGCTTACCAAAGAAGACAAATAATCATTAATCTTATCCAGGTGTGGAGCCTGTGAGCTGCAATAACTCCTGACCTGGCAAGACATGTCCACGGTTACAATAGTAGAATGAATGTCACAGGGTAAGAGGCCACTTTCTGATTGGATTTAAGACCCAGATCAACATGATGAAACCCATGCCTGGCACCATTATCCGGACAAGAACTTATTGCTAGACTGACCATAGGCCCTAGAAGAGAACCTCACACTATTAGTCACTAAGTCCTATCGTTATATCCCTATACTAACCCACCTCTCAGCCTTCATCAGAGAAGCTTCTCATTTCACTAGGTGGTAATCAACACAGAGACCCACAACTGGCCGAAGTGCAGAAAACAATTGACTTCAGAATGGCAAGCCCTAAATGGAACATACACACCACACCTCCCCATCCAAAAGCTCAGGAGTCCTCGTGACAGGAGAGAGAAATAATATAAGAGGTTATATTAACACCAGCTTGAGGTGGTATATGACCACAAAGAAAGAGTGTCTTCTGGTCACAGTAGGGAAACTGCACATGTGAACACAGCAGTTATGACAACACGCAGAAACCTGTAAAAAGCTCAAGATAAACCCAATCTCAGGATAAAGAGGGGAAGTGGCCATAACGCTCCACCCTTAGTCGAGCACTGGCAATTCTTAGCTGCTGGAGGAGGAAAGGTTAGTTTTCCCTAAAAGTGTAGCCTCTGATAGGCTGACCAAGTTGCAGTGGAAAGCCACACATCCACGCACATGTGAGCAGCACAAGCTACAGCTTGGTCTTGATGGGGGAAAAAGAGACACAAGTGTGGGCAGATCTGGAAGGCGTTATGGAAAGAAAGGAAAATATGATCAAAACATGTTGTGTGAAATTCTCCAAGAACTGATTTAGAAATAAAACTGAAAACAATATTGCTCCAAATTAAGGAAGATTCTAGCCCGTTTTGATAATAAAATGCATATTTGATTCACAAATCTATAGTGTTATTTATTTAAGCAATGGAGAATCAGACTGCTTGCTTTCTATGACTATGTGTCCTCTGATCTGTTCCTACATCCACTTCTCTATCACCCAGATTTTCAATTTTATTCCACATTTTGTCTCTTTAAGTAAATACAAGTGTGTTGATCTGTTAGTTATAAGATGGATTATTTACCTGGAGACTAGCCAGTTTAACTAAGAAAATGTTCAAATTAGAGACAAGCAGAAAATATTCTATATGTTTACCATTGAGGAACACTATTCCTCAATAGTAATAAATCTGTAGTTCCCCAATAATTTAAGGTACGAAAAAAGAATACTGGAAGCTATGCATGAATTTTCTAAACAGAGTAGATTATATGTTTAAAAGTATTTTTAAAAAATACTGTTTATTCGGGAAACTACATTTTGTAAAGTGGGTTTTTCCCTTTATTTTCACATTCCTATGACACTAGAAAGCCACCAAAATGGATAGCAAATCACAAGTTTTCTCTTATTAGCTTTGCCTGGAAGCTTTAAGCTAATTGTACTCCTGGTTCACAGGTTCTGAAAATCTCATCGGGTCTGAAACATTTGATTGTGTTGAGATTAGCTAAGAGCACACCACGCAGGCATGTTTTTTTAAAAACAGGAAAATGGAACCTTGGAGCTGGGTCTCATAGAGAGCATCCAGTCCAACTTCATTTTTCATCCGAAGTAATGGAATGAGGAAGTACCCCCACTCCCTTTGCCTTTGAACATCCACGTGGTGAAGGGCTTAGTTTGAAATATTTATGTCTCAGACACATCTCATCCCTCCAGCTATTGACCCTTGGCATTAAAAATAATTTCCTCAAACACTTTAAAATCCTTGCGTATCTGGGACCCTGGAGCTGACCTTGGCTAGGTTTACCCACAAGCTTTCTTGGTTCTGGGGTTGGCAAAGAAGGGGTTTTGGTAAGCTGCTTCTACTAGCTGGAGTTCAAAGTAAGTGACTTATGAAAATGAAATGCTACTCTTATTGCTCTGTTCCTGTGGAGTAGGTGACGATGTGTGTGGACCCTTCCAGCGCTGCAGCTGAAGAAGGGAATGCGCTGGCATCTGCAGGAGAGCCCTCATCTGGCCCAGGCTGCCCACCCCCACCTGGGTGCTTCCTTCTGGCATTGTGCGCCCTGTCTCTGGCTGTTGGGAAGGTACTGAATGTTGTTCCATCTCCAACCCTAAAAGCAATGGCAACCAAAAGAAAAAGAGTATCATACTTATAAAAGGCAGTGATTTGCTATGTGGAATCTCCAGCTCCTTAAAGGCCATCATATACACGAGCTAATATCACTATTGCAAAAAGACAACTAGAAATCGTACTTTGACCCATAACACTTACACAGAACAACTACTAATTCCTTTCCTTTGGCCCAAATACTATCACTTGGTAGTATGATTTTTGATTTATCAAGAACTATGAAGAGTAGTTCAAAATATCTTAGGTTACTGAAAATGAAGAAACCATTACTTAAAACATTAAAAACCAGACCTCTTAGGGAAAATCCAAACAGATAAAAAGATTTTTATAAGAATGGACAAAGCTTTGGAAATATTAATTTAAGCCAAAGAACTCTTCAAATATTCTCTAAGAAACCCACCCCCACTTCCCCCCCTCCTCCCGGCCACTCCAGCTTTCCCTGACTTTATGATAACTCACTGGGCAGGGCAGAGAAGCCTTCCTGTAGCTTGCTTCTTGTGGTCGGTGGTGGTCCCGGAGTCCTCGCTCATCCTTGTCTTTCCAGTTGTGACCCCAAAAGCTGCTCATCCATTTGGCAAAAGACACATCATCATCATCATCATCTCTGTGCTCCATGGAAATGTGACTCAAAATATTAAAGGCCTGCCCCTGAAACTGGCAGAAATATGACCCAAGATTTGATGAAATCCACCCCGAACACTAAACAAAACTGGTGTTTGAAATGGTCTCTGATAATGGCATCCTTAAAAAAGAAAAATTTACCAAACAACGACTTCATCATCAGGCAGCCTGGAGCAATGTCTATTTATAAACTGTGCAGCCCACACTCCCCTCCCCCTTGTCTCTTTAAATTGAGAGGCTTTTTAATCCTCCTGTTTCCAGGGCTGTGCCTTGCAGCCTAAGGGTAGGCAGCACAGTCCACTGCCTGGTTTTTGCTGAGCCTTTCTGCCAGAGGCATGTGGTGGCATCTCCAGCTGTCAATGGTGATGAAGCGTGACCCTCACAATATGCTTGTCAGCTCCAGGCTGGCTCTGAAATAGGTCCTCATCCAAGAGACAGACAACTGCAGCTCACCACCTTGGCATGTCAGATACAAGGCTAGATGCTTTTCTAATAAATAAAAATGACATTGAAAAAATCTGACTCCAGGTCAAATTGGATACTTTTTAAATCTAAGTATTACCTGTATATGCATAGATATGGGTGGATATACATATAAAATATACAAATCTTCAGTTTACAACTTAATAAAATTGTATGTATGTATACTGCTATGCTACCACTGTAACTGGCTAATTACTGAACATTTTCAGTATTCAAGAAAGTTCCTTCTAACCCCTTCCAATCTATAATACTTTCAAAGGGTTACTACATTTGGCTTCTGTTCATAAAGCTTTCACATATTTATAATCCCCTAGTCTTCCTATTCTTTCTAAAAATGGTACATTTACAGAACTCTTACTGTGCAATATATATAAATACAAATATTTTAGAAATGTAATTTTCATTATAAGAATGCTGTAACTGAGAGCCATACATCACACTTTGTATGTAAAGAAATTGAGCTTCACACTGAACATCATTTGTCCAAATTTGAGCTACTGCTAAGCATCATGGCCAAGTTTAAACCATGAGCCTTTTTATCATCCTGCTGATATTCTAAGAGATTTGAGAAAATGTTGCAATTTCAGAAAAAGGGATTCCTAGTTAGCTGCCACATGGAAGTCCTTCTTGAATCTGAAAAAGAAGATGGGCTTGAAAGATATGCCAATATTCCTAGAGCTTTTTTTTTTTTATGTGATTTTGGGATGGATCTTTCTTTGATTCTTCCTAAGGTAAATGCTCTATAGTCATTACTTGAAAGTGAAATGTTGCCCCCTAGAAGATGAGGTAGGCTCATAAGTCTTAGGAAGTCAACAAAACGTACAAGGCTCAGGAAGTACATGGGACTTACAAGGCTCAGGAAGCCCCTCAAAGTCATAAGATTTTCAAAGTCCTTGCAGAAGGTGATAAATCAGTAAAATACCATTACTAGGAAGAGCAGTCTCTGGCTGGAAATCTGCCTGTGAATATTGCAGGGAGCTCCATGGACGAAACTTTCATGAGTCATCATTCATGCTGGGCTTTTCAGTGGTCTATTGACAGCTGTCTTTGAATCATTCATGCTCTATTCATAACTCTTCACTCATGCTCCTGTAAAGAACTGATAAACTCAGTGTTTCCCTAAGCTTTACTTGGTACCATAATTTCTTTGGAGTTACATCAATGTTTATCTGTGTTGACTAGATGTTTACATTTCTTATGGTAAAGTTAAGACAGAAGAATTGGTACCAAAACAGGGCCTAATTGAACTAAAGCTGAGTTGAGAATGGTTGCATGGCCCCTGGAACGTATTCTGAGACATTCATGTGAGGGTGAAACATACATGATTACCTTTCACTCTGGTATGAGGTGGTGTACTACCTAGTTGTGTGTCAACTCGACACAGGCTAAAGTCATCATGGAGTGGGAGCTCAATTGAGAAAATGTTTCCTTTAGATCAAGCTGTAGGCAAACCTGCAGGACATTTTGTTAATTAGAGATTAATGAGGAAGGGCACAGCCCATTGTAGATGGTGACATCCCTGGGCTTGTGGTTCTGAGTTATAAAAGAAAGTAGGCTGAACAAGCCATGAGGAATGCTCCAGCTAACAGCACTCCTCCGTGGCCTCTGCATTAGCTCCAGCCTCCAAGCTGCTAGCCTGCATGAGCTCCTGCTCTCACTGCCTTTTTTGATGATGGGCAGGAGAATTGTCATTTAAGAATGCAGAGAAGTGGCAGAGTCTTAGTTGGAAAGAAATTGGCAACAGAAATTGGCAACAGGACCATGGGATCCTAGTGAGAGCTCAAAACAGAGAAGGTAGCCTCTGTGTCCACCAGGTGATAAGAGCAGCAGCCCGGGCTCTACAAGGATGATGGGAGTCCCCAAGTATGGACACCATCAACCCTTCGCCAGGCCAAGGAACTAGAAGGCCAAGGGTCTGAGGTGCCTACGCTGATGGGGCTGGACCTTTGTGACATGGCATGGAAGACGAGCCCACATTGGAGGCACTCTAATTTCTAATGGCTAGGCTGCTAGCAGACAGGGTGGGTTGTCCAGAGCTGGGGCAGCCACAGTACCAGTGGCCTTCCTGGCCACATCCTGGCGAAGTTGACTTTGGCTGGACCCTGACGGCAGGGGGCCTGGCAGACCAACCCTGTTCCATGTGCAGGATTGCTGTTGGCCTCAGGGCAGTTGCCAAGGCCTGGGCCTGGAGCGTAGCCTTCTGCCTTTTGGGAAGATTTGCCATCTCTTGTCTGGCATTAAAGACCACTCTTATCAACTCTTGCACAGGAGTTTGGAAACCACCCTCAGCCGTTTTTTAGTTTTTCCTCCCCCAAATATCTGGCTATGACTGGGAAATAAAATGGGTAACCAGGACCGGTGCTCCCGCTGGGAGGGCTGGGTCAAGATGGGTATATTGGATCATGGTCTCTTGTAATTGATTTAGAAAACTGGCCAGATTTTCATAGCTCGCTGTGTAATTTCACAGAGCTTATCAAAGTTAACATCTTTGTTTGAGACATTTTCCATACCCTGAAGGAGTCGTTAGACCATGAGGCCCCTCCTCTAGTGGCCATTTTGATCCAGTTGGTAATTTCAATTAGGCTCTATAGTGTGTCACCAGTGTACGAGTGTGTCACCCACAGGGACCATATCATCCACCAGATGGGTCTGGGCTGCATACTGCCTGGCTGCTGCCTGAACCTGTCTGCACTCCTTGGGCATGAAAGTGGAGGTCTGGATGACATAAAGGTCAGGCCCTGTTAGGTCATAGTCCTGGGAAAGGCAGCAGAACTCTTTGATTAGGCAGATGGGTTATTAGAAAGGAAGCCTAACCACTTTTCTTTTCTTTTTATTTATTTAACTTATTTTTTAAAAATTTGTTCACTTTATATTCCGATTGTAGCCCCCTTCCTCATCTCCTCCTGCTCCCACCTTCCTTCCCTCTTTCACCCTATTCCCCTCCCCTAGTCCATAGAAAGGGGGATCCCTCCTCACCTCCCATCTGACCCTAGCTTATCAAGGAAGCAGAGCATGTAGTGGTGTAGAAGAAAGAGGGGTAGAAGGTGCTTGAGGAAAAGGAGGTGCCAGTGACTCAGTAAGGGCTGAAAATTTAGGGTCTGAGGCTCTGAATGAAAGGCTATCTGGAAGCTCTGCAACCCTGACCAGTAAGATTTGGGTCTTTGAGCACTGGTTACAAAGTGAGGAATGGGAGCACAGCTCCCCAAAAGCCTGGGCATAAGGGAGTTCATTCCACTTGTCCATTCACCCACAGAAAATTTCAGTATCACTTAGGGTATTACAGTTAAGAGTGCCCTCTGGAACAGGAGCTCCACAAGGAGAGCAACCGAACCAAAATATCTGGGCACAGGGGTCTTTTCTGATACTGATACTCCAACCAAGGACCATTCATGGAAATAACTGAGAACCCCTGCACAGATGTAGCCCATGCAGCTCAGACTCCAAGTGGGTTCCCTAGTAAGGGGAACAAGAGCTGTCTCTGACATGAACTCGGTGGCTGGCTCTTTGATCACCTCCCCCTGAGGGTGGAGGCAGCCTTACCAGGCCACAGAGGAACACAATGCAGCCAGTCTTGATGAGACCTGATAGTCTAGGGTCATATAGAAGGGGAGGAGGACCTCCCCTATCAGTGGACTTAGGGAGGGGCATGGGAGGAGAAGAGGAAGGGAGAGCGGGATTGGGAGGGACTGTTGGAGGGGCTGCAGCTGGGATACAAAGTAAATAAACTGTAATAAATAATAAAAACTATATTAAAAAAGAGTGCCCTCTGGTGGCTATTTAAACTGGTTATCTAGCATGTACCTAGATCACAGAATAAAGGAAATCAGAAGTTTCAGACATAAGATCTGAAAAAAACCCAATTTTAATAAATTTTGCATCAGGAACCCCAAAGGAGACTGTGGATTAGGTTTAGACTCAGTGTTGCCTATTTCCAAGCCTGCGCTTCGGACTGAAGACTATGACACAGTATCCCACACGATAGCCTGGGGTCAAACAGTGGGAGGTGGGTTAGCCTTGGAAAGGATATGTCCAAATCCCTAAGGTTCCCTGGAACAAACACTGTCTCTGTTCCGGAATGGACGTGCTTGCTCTGGTGCAGCCATGGTTTGGCAGGGGATACTGGGGACCCTGGACCTGGAAGAGCATCTTGATAGTGGCTGGAAAAGGCAATTTTTAATTAATTTTTATTTTTTTATATTAATCACAGGTTATTTACTTTTGTATCCCAGCCGTAGCCCTCTCCCTCATTCCCTCCCAATCTCACCCTCCCTCTCTCCTCTCCTCCCTGCCCCTTTCCAAGTCCACTGATAGGGGAAGTCTTTCTCCCCTTCCATCTGACCCTAGCTTATCAGGTATCTTCAAGACTGTCTGCCATGTCCTCCTCTGTGGCCTAGCAAGGCTGATCCTCCCTCAGAGGGGGGCAGGTAAAGGAGCCAGTCATTCAGTTCATGTCAGAAATAGCTCCTGTTGACCGGAAGAAGCCAGGAGCTTCACAAGGACAAAATATATCAGGGTAAGGGGGTCCTCTATGAGACTGTTTCTCCAACCAAGGACCATGTATGGATATAACCTAGAACCCCTGCTCAGCTGTAGCCCATGGTAGCTCAGTATCCAAGTGGAAAAG